ACACCCAGCAGTGCCCAAGGGACTAGGCAATGCTCGGGCTGGAACCAGGGCTACCGCACACCCAGCATGCGTGGCCAGCCCTGTGTTCCCTCCCTCACCCTGGATGTTTCTGTGTGTAGTGGATCTCTTGGGCCTTTGCCTTGCTCCGGGCTGGGGTGCCGCACTCGGGGCGCGTGTGCTCTGCCGTTCGTGACTCAGACCCGCTGACTGCTGGTCGGGGTCTAAACCCATCCCGTTGAATGTGGCTCTTCCGTGTTGGGTTTTAATCTATCCTACTGTTGTTTGCCCATTTGTCTCATTTGCTCTTTGGCTCATTTTTCCTTTTTCTTCCTTCTCTTAAATTGAGAGGGTGGATGTTGTTTTTTATGACTTATCTTTTGTTGATGGTTTCCAGGTGACTGTCTGCACTAAGGCTTACAGCCAAACCTTCAGGCTAGTCTGTCTGAGTGATGCTCTGCTGTGAAACATGGTAGCAGACTGGAGTCTGTTACGTCACAGTGCCACAGTGTTATTATAAATCATTCTCTCTTGATTTTAAAAAGAAGAATGGTAGCCCTTTTTATTGCACTCAGGAATTACTCCTGATGGTGCTCAGGGGACCATGTGGAATGCTGAGAATCAAATCCAGGTTGGCCGCATGCAAGGCGGTACACCGCTCCAGCCCCGAAAGATAGTCCTCATTTCCACTGTTCATTTCTTCACTTATTCCCCAGGTTTCCATCTGGTGTGATTTTACTTTTGTAAAATCTTTTTCTTCTTTTTTGGGGGGACCACACTTGGTGGTGCTCAGGGCTTTCTCTGTTCATTGGTCATTGCTCTGAACACCATATGGGTGCCGGGGACAGATCAGTCATGTACAGGGCAAACATGCTTTACCCACTATCAGTTTTAACCCCTAGAAAATTTTTTCCTTGGGCTATAGAGTTGGAATCATGCAATCTTCGTATGTCTGCCAAAGATTTGCACAGAATAAGAAATGAAATTAACCCCCAGTTTTGTTCTGCTTTAAAAATAATATTGAAGGGCTGGAGCAATAGCACAGCGGGTAGGGCATTTGCCTTGCACGTGGCCGACCCAGGTTCAATTCTCAGCATCCCATATGGTCCCCTGAGCACTGCCAGGGGTAATTCCTGAGTGCAGAGCCAGGAGTAATCCCATGTACATTGCCAAGTGTGACCCCCCCAAAAAAATAATAATAATATTGAGGGACCAGAGAGATAGTCTAGCAGGAAAAGTGCTTATCTTACACCACATACTGTCCCTCTAGCCACTCCAGGAGCACTGCCTGGTGTGTCCCAAAAATCAACAAAATGACAATAACTTGGTCAAAGAGTTAGTGCCTTTGGCTGGAGTGCGTGCTCTGCACCCAGGGGCCCAGGTTCATCCCCGAGCACCAAGCCAGGAGTAAGTGGCCCTTGAGCATCACACACACACACACACACACACACACACACACACACACACACTAATGTTAGAAATGACCATAATGTAAAAATATCATCGATTCTTATCACAGTGTTTATTGTAGGCATTTTAAGCAGCAGATGATTAAAAAAAAAACGGGTTGAAGAGAGAATGCAGCAGGGAGGGCACCTGCTTTGCATACAGCAGACCCAGGTTCAATCCCTGGCACTACATAAGGTTTCTCACACACACACACACACACACACACACACACACACTCATACACATCCCCAGGTTCAATCCCTGGCACTACAAAGGTTTCACACACACACACACTCTCACACATCCCCAGGTTCAATCCCTGGCACTACATAAGGTTTCTCACACACACACACACACACACACACACACACACACACACACACCACACACACAACCCCAGTAGTAAGCCTTGAGCACCACTGGGTGTGCCCAAACAATAAAATAATAGGATTAGGGATCATAGGACTAGGAACCATAGTAGTAGTCTGGGGGTGAAGCTCACCTTGCTTATGGTCCACCCTGGTTCCATCCCCTGCACCAGCACCATGCAGGGTCTCCCAAGCATCTCCAGAGTGGCCCCTGAGCACCAAGCCAGGAGTAACCCAGAGCATCACTGTGTATGGCACCGAAACAGAACAGTAACATGAAAATCCCCTTTATTCGCATTATAAACTTTGACTCTTTTTACATGATTAGTCATGGTTCTGTAAAAGTTCCGTGGTTTTCGTCTGGTAGTTTCACAGCCTTCTCAGCTGAGTTTCACTGTGGGGAGGGCACAGCCTGAAGACCAGTATATTGTCTGTCCAGTGGAGCAGGACACACAGCAGCGGCCAAAAGCACCCTGCTGTGCTCGGGAGAGTCTGAAGCCAGTTTGTTGCTTTTTTTCTGTGGTTATCACCTGTGATATTTTCTTTGGGGTGAGGATGAGTCCCGGCAGTGCCCGGGGCTTACTCCTCTATCTCAGGGATCACTCCTGGCAGGCTCAGGGGACCATTCAGAGTGTGAGGGATGAAACTGGTAGTTACTGTTTTTTGTCAGGGTGATCTGGATGGAGAGTCAGAGCGCTAGACGCCCGTTGGCATTGCTGTTATTCCTTTTGCTGGCCGGGGCATCGGTTACTCATCTCACGGCAGAGCTCGGCCGTGGCCTGGACCATGAGCGGGGCCTGTAGGCTGCTGCAAGCATCCGCGCTTCCTCGACCTCAGGCAGCTTGTTCTTGGCTACTTATGGCCTTTCCATTTTGTTTGAAGCTGTTGAGTGGAACGTGCCGACTGGTTTTCCAGCCCTCTCTCTCAGGCCCATCTTAGAATATGCTCATCTCAAATACTCCAGCCGGGTTACCTTCTCCTGAATCTCCCGAGCTGCAGATTTCTGTTGCTTGTGGCTGTGATCCCGCGGCCATGCACACTTCCTTACTTCCTTGTTCAGCCTCGTTCTGTTTGCACTCTTGGCGCACAGTCATCCCTCTTCAGTTTTTGGTTTATTCCTTTTTGTTGTTGTTTTTTGTTTCTTTGTTTTGGGGCCCCACCTGGCAATGCTCAGGGCTTACTCCTGGCTCTGCTCTCAGGAATTACTCCTGGCGGTGCACAGGAGACTATAGGGGATGCTGGGAATCGAACCCGAAAAGGATCAAGGCAAGCGCCCTCCCTGCTATACTGTCTCTCACGCCCCCCAGTTGTCTGGCTTCTTAACCCGAGGTTGCACTGAGCTGCATTTCTCTGCAGGGTTGTCACATGACCCCGTGTGCAGGTACTGTAAAGCCTAATTTTATGCATTTGGGGATTTAGAATCCCTGTGAGATTTATAGCATTATCCCAGGTAAATAGACCAGTGGTTGTACTCAAACTTCTTTGTGTGTGATTTGATTTTACCATCATTTCATAACTCAATTTGGGGTGCAAAAAGACATTATGAAATCGGGTAAGTTGCTGGTTTTATTTTTATTTCTAGGTTCATTTTGCACCTTTGAGAAAGCATAAAACATTTTCATATCCTCTGTGGCCTTCAAGAGCTCAAACCATTTCTCTCCCCAGCTGACTGCTCTGCCTTCCCAGGGGTGACTCACGCCCGAGATCTCACGTTCCTTTTCTCGGCTGGGGAGCCAGTAGAGGTTAGGGGAGCGCCGTGCCTACAGTTCTGCCTGGGGGTCACCTCAGGGGGACTGCTATGTTTCCTCGGAGAGGTTCACGGTTACAGCCTCTGTCTTGAGTAGGAAAAAGAAGATTTTGTCCATTTTCTTCTCTCTTATTCTAGCCAAGTTTGTGTGGGAAGGCTCCTGGGTTATTCCAGCAGAGAAAGTGGAGAAGCTTCTAGGACTATCAGATCATTTGATTGGTTTTGTTTTGTTTTGGTTAAGCCTGGACTAAAAACAATTTTTTTTGCCTTCAAAGTTAATATTTGGATAGAACAATATTAATCTCCTTAAAAATTTAAAGCTCCAGGATAGGGGGAGGCAGATTTTAAAAACCAAATCCAGATCCTCCAGCCACTGCTGTTGCACATACCAAAGAACCTAAAATAAGGAGAGATAAAGCGAAAAGACTGCTTCTGAGACAGGCAGTGTTTTCACCCATCACTGCATCAGCCAGGGCTTTCCCCTGTTTTCCCCCGACATGTTGACACTAAACAATCAGCAGAAAGTTTCCTGCATACAAGTTCACAATGAAAAGGAGATGGTGGGACTCCTACAAACAGAGGCTGCGGTTTTCATTCTCTGGCAAAGAACAGTGGTTTCTTGCAGTCCCTGGTTGGCTGCCCTGGTGAGCACTGGGCTCTGGGGGCCGGTTGCTGTGAGCTGCTGAGGTTTCTGCAGCACCTTTTGGGGCGGCGGGGGCAATGCTCAGAATCAGACCCAGCCTGCCCAGCACTGTGACCCCGCGACGTCAGGAGTCCTGTGGCAGAGGCAGGGCAGAGAGGGCTCACTGGCCACTCAGATGAGCAGTTCACACTTACATCTGTTTGCCTTACAACCGCAGGAAGAAAATGAGGCTTTTTTGTTTGCTTTTATTTTTGTGTTGGGGTCACACCCAGCTGTGCTTACTCCTGGCTCTGTGCTCAGGATCACTCTGGGAAGGACTCAGCTGGGGGCTGCAGGAGGGACATCTGTGGTGCCAGGATGGCCCCTGGGCTCCCACACGCAAGGCTCCCACTTTCCCACTGGGTGGTCCCTCCGGCCTGGGATAGTGAGTTTGGAGGTTGCTGTATTGACTCTTTTTTTTTTTTTTTTTTTTTTTGCTTTTTGGGTCACACCCAGCGATGCACAGAGGTTACTCCTGGCTGGCTCTGTACTCAGGAATCACCCCTGGCTGTGCTCAGGGAACCATATAGGATGCTGGGAATCGAACCCGAGTTGGCCGCGTGCAAGGCAAACGCCCTACCCGCTGTGCTATCTCTCCAGCCCCGCTGTATTGACTCTTATGCCAAGGGCCCACATTTTGTTTAAAGACTCTCTTAATCAGAAAAGAAATGTCAAAAATACTTCAGTGGTTGGGGTCCCAAGCACCTTTTCTACTCACGCTGCCTTTGTTCTTGATGGGCTGTTTTGTGTTTTCCAGTTCACCGGCGCCATACTCGACAGCCAAAACAGCTCACCCAGGCTTGACGCCAGTGACGGCGAACCAGTCTAAACAGGTGCGTTGCGGTGTTTGCTCCTTCACCCCCAACACCCCCCCAACACCTCCCCACACACACACACACACACACATGCAGTATCCGTGTTCTCCCTGTGTTCCCATCAGTTCTCATTCCTGGCAAAGACTTGAGGTGCCTTCCCCACTCTGCCAGTCTCGACCCATCAGGTCAGTCAGTCTAGCAGATTTGACCCATCCTTCCAGGGCCTCGCGTTTGCAGAGGTGTTTGTGTCTGCGTCTGACTCTTTACCGCCATCCTAGTTGACCCATTAATCGCCATGCACCGTTATCGGTCTCCCGCCCCCGCCTCTGTGCCTGGGATGGGCCCTCCAGCTTGCCCTGCGCTGCTCGCCTCTCAGGCTGCCGTAATCAGTGAGTGTTATGTCTACTTTAGGGCTCGCTCCTGATGAGCATCGTCTGTTATAAACAGGTTAGAGGGCCAGGGAGACAGGTCAAAGGGCTGGGCGCAGGCTTTGTAATCAGGACCTCGAGCTTGTCCCCAGCACCGTGTGGTCCCCTGGGAGTAACCCCGGGACACGGCTGGTGGAGTCTGTAAATAACACCCCCACCCTCAAAGAAAAAGGGAAACTCCACACATTTATGTTGTAAATTGTTCAAGAAACTGGAAAACATATGAGGAGTCTGGGGAAGCAGCTCAGACTCTCCGCGGTGCTTCGGTGGGAACCTGCTTCCTGCTGCTCGGCTTTTTGTTTGGAGGCCACTGCTGGGGGTGCTGGGGGGCTGCTCCCAGCTCTGCTCAGGGCTCGTTCCCACTGGTGTGAGGGCACCATGTTGTGCCAGGAATTGGACTCAAGCCTCCTGCGTGCAAACCGGGCACTCAGGCTGTCCAGCTTTTGCTCTGACCTCTGCTACTCGCTTCTCCTTCTGAGGTGAAATAGTTCAGGTTATATTTGAGATCGAGGCACTGAAAGTTGCCTCCTGTGCGTTCTCAGTGTGGTCCTGCATTCCTTGGTTTGCCTGGCTTGCTGTGTTTGGCATTTGTCATTTTGGTCATTCTTCTGGAGGTTGTCATGTTCATCGTAGAGGACATGGTGCAAGGTTTAGATCATACTAGGACAAAATTGACACTGGAGTGTGAGGTGAACAAGTCCGCTTTCTAGCAGTATTACACACTGACTGAGCCAGAATTCATCTTTGTCTACAGAATATTGACTGGGAAGCTCTGTGCTGGGTACCGGGAAATAGCCACAGTCTGGCATTTCTTTCCTGGAGCTTCCAGAATAACCCTGCTTGCTACCTCTATTGACTTAAGTTGATTTTTTGGGTTTTTTTTTTTTTTTTTTTTTTTTTTGGGGGGTGACACCAAGTAGTGCTCGGGGGTTATTCCTGGCTCTGCAATCAGGATTCATTCCTGGCAAGCTCAGGGAACTATATGGGATCCCCGGGATTGAACCTGGGATCACCACATACAAGGCAAGCACCACATCCACTCTAGTATTGATCCGGCCCCAAAGTTGATTTCTTTTTTTACTAAGTTTGCTTCACTGTCACTGTCACTGTCCTCCTGTTGTTCATCAATTTGCTTGAGTGGGCCCAGTAACATCTCCATTGTGACACTTGTTACTGTGTTTGGCATCTTGAATACGTCACAGGTAGCTTGCCAGGCTTTGCCGTGCGGGGCGAGATGCTTGTGTATTTAAAATTATAATATTGTTATACTGTTCTTTATTCCAAAGGATAGTCAGTCATTTCACCTGTTCTGCCTGTATTCTTTTGTAGGGTTCTTTCATTAATTCCCCAAAGCCTCCTGCACCCACAGCAGCTTCTGGTCAGTTGTCATCTGGTGATAAAGCTTCAGGTGAGTTTGCGTTTCTGTTTTGGGTAGAGCTGGAGGTATCAGAAGTGTTCCACTCTGAGTCTGCCTGTGGCAGCTGGCACCAGAAGCCAGGTAGAGACCCACGAAACCCTCAGAGGATGGAGCCTCGGAGACGGCCGGCCCTGAGCGCCCTCTCTGGGCTTCTGAGGTTTGGCGGCAGAGAGAGTCGAGCTTGACATTTTCTGCAGCTTCTGCTCAGCACAGTGAAAGAGCCTCTTGGTTCCTAGTGACACTTCAGAGACTGGGAAATGCGCCAGGGGGATTGGTTCTAAAGTAAATATGTTCATATTGGAAAGATTTCAGGGCTTCGTGGACTTCTTGACTCGGCTTTGCAGACATGGCCCCGTTAGAGCTCAGTCCCCAGGAGGCAGCCGAAGGGCACTCTGATGAGTGAGCAGGTGAGGGGTGGGTGTCTGCCTTGGCGGCTCCTCCCGTTGGCTCCTGTGTGGCAACCCACTGAACAGGCTGGTGTGACTGCGTCAGTGCTCAGGTGCCACCTGCAAACCTGTGTTCTGGCCCACTCGGAAATGGGGTTTTATGTGACTCACGAGTAGACCGTCAGATTCCCGAGAGCCTGCCCTCCACACACAAGCCTGTGCCCCTGCTGGCCGCACTGTTGATTGCATATGGGACATTGTGAGTTTCCGAATGATAACCGTGGGCACACAGGACTCGAGAGCGTTTAGTTGCTGAGAACCACGGTGACTGGTGGATGAAGGGCCAGGGGAACAGAGAAACGGCCTGGGCCCCAGGCTGGTCGGTAGTCAGTTTATTTCTCTCTCCTCCCCAGTGTAGTCCGATCTCTCCCTTATGGGACTGTAGCTGTAGGTTTGGTCATAGTCCCAGTCATCATCATTCCAACATCTGAGTCTCCTCGTAGACCTCAAGTTCCTCTACGCAGTTACATTCTCTTCCTCATCTCGTCGTAGTCTCAGTCGTGATTCCGTTCTGGTTCTGTCTAGTCCTTCTCTTGCTCAAAGTCCCCACTCTCCCCTTAGAGAATAGTTACATAGGGATCATGAAGGGTGAGGGCACACATAGGTGGAGTTGAACGGTGTCATAACAGTAAATAGATGTAAAGCCACTCCTTCAGGGGAAGTTCTAGGAGATTAACTCAAGGACAAGATCTCATCTGAGGAGTCAGCACTCCAGGACCCGCTCAAGGGCGGGATTCCATCCAGGGTGCTTTCTCCTGTCCTCTGCTAGCAATCCATTTAAACAGTCATAGCGAATTCACTTCTTACGATATTTTGAGTCATTTTGTATGAACACATAAGAGATATATTACACTCAAAGGTTGGCTCTCCCTGGGACATCTCGCTATATATTCCAGACCCCAGGCCAGGTTAGTCTTTCCTAACCCCAGCAGGGTCCTTCTCCAGTTACTTCTCTTTGGGTCTTGACAGTTTGTTCTGTGCTCTTAACTTGTTATATTCATGGTGCTTAGTTCATATAACTTAGTTATATTCATGGTGCTTGTTCCTGTTCGATGTCAGGGGAACGTACGGCTTGCCCTGGGTTCATTCAGTCCTCTCGTCAGGATCCTGCTTTTGGAGTGCTAGGAACTAAGCATAACTGAGGCTGAAGTCAAGTAAATATGGATGCCCAGAAGTAAATATTACTTGGAGTCAGTCAACTCCCATGTTATAAAAGCATAACATGAACTGTCTTCCTGTATATATACAAAAAGGACATTGCTAAACCATGCAAGGGACGTAAAGGAAAGAGAAAAACAATATAGGATTATTAGTGCTTGATGGAATTGGGTGTGCTTCAGGGGCACTCACCGTGGGCAAGGCGAGCACCCTCCCCACTGTACTGTCAATCCTTCAGCCCCTTAGACCACTATTTTTTTCATTTAAAACTTTATTTAAATGCTATGATTTACAACGTTGTTCATTCAATCACTAATCCCACCATCAATGTGACCTAACTTCTACCAATGTCCCAAATTACCCACCCACCCCTCACGCTTGTCCCCCTTAGCAGATACAGGATAAATTACTTTATGTTGTTTGTTATGCATATGTAGTGGGGTTACAAAAGTCCCTGTCGAAGGGATTCGCTGCGCTGTCCGGTGCGGTGCGTCTCTGAGTTGATTCAGCAGGTGGCATCTCGGTTCCTCCAGATTCCGCTCGGCTGCAGCTTCTCTCTGAGATAGGTCGGGGAGCCGGGCTGTCTCGGTGCAGGTGAGAGCACTGGGCCCAGAGATCAGGCTCTCAGGTGAGGCTGCTGCTTCTCTCCCAGGTGGCGCTCGGGCTTGCCCCTGGCTCTGTGCTCAGGAATTACTCGTGGTACTCGACGGACCACAGGGGAAGCCGGGGATCAAATCTGGGTCGTCTGTGGGCAAGGCTAGCACCCTACCTACTGTACTAGCTCTCCAGCCCCTAAAACCAGTTCTTTTTTGTGGTTTGGTTGTGGGGTTTTTTGTTGGTTGGTTGGTTTGGGTTTTTTGTTTTTTTGTTTGTTTTTGTTTGTTTTGTTTTGTTTTTTGTCTACACTTCGTGGTGCTCAGGGATTACCAGTGGCTCTGCACTCAGAAATGATTCCTGGCGAGCTCTCAGGGGACCTTACAGGATGCCAGGGTTTGAACCTACGTCGGCTGCGCTCTAGCCCCTAAAATCACTTGACTGAGAGTTAAAGCTTTATGTGACAAGGACAAATTTGGGAATTGTCAGAGATTAAATGTTTTGGTTTTTTGGGCCACACCCGGCAGTGCTCCGGTCTGACTCCTGGCTCTGTGCTCAGGGATCACCCCTGGAGGTGCTCAGGGGGCCGTGCACCCAGGGGTGGCTGTGTGCAAGGCAAGCACTCCATCCATGGCCCTCTCACTCTTTCTCTCTGACCCCATTAAAATGTTCTTAATTCTCTAGGGTTCAAATGAATAGGTTTATTTCCACTTTGGTTTATATTTTACAGAAAGAAAAAAAAACTTAAATATCCCTTTTTTCAAGGACTTCACTGGAGAACTTTTCGTTGCTCCTGAAGTTACAATTCAAGGAAATGCAAGAAGCTTTATTTTGTCCATTTCTGATGTGGTAAATGTGAGTTGTAATGAAATTTCTGAGATTCACCATTCAGTAATGATTTTTTACTGCTAGTATTTATACTGCTTTGATCACTTGCAGAATAATCCAAAGGGGAGGGTGGCTTTATCGGAAGGAATAGAAAAGGTTCCCTAAAAATACTACCTGAATGTTTCCTTTTAAGCATTTCCGAATTCTCTATGGAATAGCTATCTAGTTCGTTACTGATGAAAATATTTTTTTGGTTTTAAAAGCTGTTACAGTTGCACACAAAAGGAAGTGGCGTGGGGGTATATAATGAGCTTATTTTTGTTTTTTATGTTGGTGCCAGGGACTGAACCCAGCCAGGGCCTCCCCCCCGGAGCTTGTACATTACCGTGAGCTGCCGGGCCAGGGTGACGGTTTGGAGGTGAAAGGTGACCTGTGGAGCCCACATTCCAGAGATTGCGGCCCGCCCTAGTTGATGTGTCTCCTGAGCTAACTTCATTGTCACTTGGACAAAAATAGGCATCGTCCTGTGTGGGTTGTTTGTGATGTTTCCCATCTTGCCCTCCCCCCTTACAGTGTCCATCTGTCCAGACCGGCTACATCTCCTTCCCTTTCTTAAGGGTACCTGAGGTCTTCATTACGTGCTTACTGCTGTAGCTTAGAGCAGTGTTCTCCGACCTTTCTGCGCCTGTACACTGACCCCTGGCCTGCATCCTCTGGTTAGGACTAAGACAGAGGCTGGTACTGACCAGCCTTTCCACATTCAAGAGACCAGCTAGTTCAGGCCAGTGATCACTGGTTCAGATTCTAATTTTCCAGGTCTGTGAGTAAGGCTGTATCTTTGTACATACCACATTGTATTACAGTGACTTAAAAAATAATCTTGCTATGATTTATCCCAAGTTCACTTAAAATTATGCAGTTTTCTCTTTTGCTTACTATGATTTGGGCCTTTTATGTGCGATTTTCCCATTTCTCTCTTTTAAGCCATTGGGGAGAAGGTTAAAGGTGGTTCCAGACTGTGAGAACAGTGTTGATTGTGGGGAGAGCCATGGGTTTCAGCTCCTGGGTCTCTCTGGATTACAGCAATTCTGTATTGCCTTTTGGGTTTGTTGGTTTTTTTGTTTATTTTCCTTTTGGGTCACACCGGGCGATGCACAGGAGTTACTCCTGGCTCTGCACTCAGGAATTACTCCTGGTGGTGCTCGGGGGACCATATGGGATGCTGGGAATCAAACCTTGGTCGGCTGCATGCAAGGCAAACGCCCTACCCCCGATGCTATCGCTCCAGCCCTGTATTGCCTTTTTTTTTTAAAGAAGTTATTTTTAAATACAAATAATCTATGGACTATACCAAACATGTGAGGAATGGAGGCCAGAGAGATAGTACAGTGTGTAGGGCGTCTGCCTTGCTCGTGGCCCACTCGGCGCTCCATCCTCCAAGCACCACCAGGAGTGATCCCTGAGCTCAGAGCCAGGAGTATGCTCTGAGCACCACAGGCTATGGCTCTAAAACAAAACAAAAAATGTGGGAAATAAGCAAAACAGTCAGCCATGAAATAACTACTCAGAGATGGAGTCATCTGTTTCTCCTGCACTGTTTTCCTTTTCGGTAAGTAAGAGCTACTGTCAAAGCTTCACATTAAACTACTCAAATTATTTGGTGTCTTTTTCTAAAAGGCGAGTGGGCGTATCTTGGCTTGGAATTAATATTGACAAGCCACAGAGAGGCCGTTGGAGACCTCTGGGCTTGCATTGGCCACCGACAGGCAGGCCGTGACTCCCTGCGGTCCCTGGTCCAGTGTCCCAGAAAGCCATCCCTGCAGTGCTGCTTCTGATTTGTTGCAAGGTTCTGATAATTTTTTTTCTTTTTAATAACTGCAGGGCCAGAGGCGACCAAGATAGAAACAGCTGTGACTTCTCCATCTGTCGGGCAGTTCAGCAAGCCTTTCTCCTGCTCCTCCTCTGGGTGAGCACTGAGCTTAAGTGGTGGTAGATTGTCAGCAGACTCAGTTTCCCCCCATCTTCCGACCAGGCATGTTCCCAGGCATGTTGGACCCTCGCAAACCCCAAACTCTCTGGTGAGAGCGGCCCAGGTTTCTGCTTTCCCAGCAGGATTCTTAGACGTCATTGCCTGTGCATTTGTTTAGTTCTGGTCTTTGACACATACCTCTTTAGGTGTGTGGCCTGGACCCATGTATAGTCCTCTAGTCACTCTCACTCAGGTACTTCCAGCCCATCTGGGGTCTCGAGGTGATGCTTGGGTGACTTCACTGCCCCTTGAGTACTGAGTTATGGGCAACGGAAGTGGCAGACAGCAGCCATTTGAACGTTGCATGTTCAGAGATGAGGCACCTTCTTCCTCTATTTTTGTTTTGAAGTAACAGTAGCTGTACTTGTAAAGTTGAGTCATTTCAAAAAAACAAAGCACCTTGTAGCCTTCATTCTGGGGGAGCTTTTATGACACTCTTGGGGGAGGGCCTTCTCCCTGTGCTGCCTTGGGGGCGTGTGGGGCAGCCCCGGGCATCTTCCTGGGCTTCTTTCCCTTCAGAGCTTACAGCCTGCCCATGGGCTTTTGTGCCACTCACTCTTGGGACTGTGCATTTAAGTCCCAGTAGAAAAGCCTACTTTCGGGGCTGGAGCAATAGCACAGCGGGTAGGGTGTTTGCCTTGCATGTGGCCGACCCGGTTTCAATTCACGGCATCCCATATGGTCCCCCGAGCACCGCCAGGAGTGATTCCTGAGTGCAAAGCCAGGAGTAACCCCTGAGCATCACCGGGTGTAACCCAAAAAGAAAGAAAAAAAGAAGAAGAAAGAAAAGAAAGGCCTCCTTTCTCTTTGCTTATGGTGGGGATGCAACCCCGGCCGGAACACGTGCAAGTGCCCTGCTGCTGGCCTCGTCCCGGTGACGTAGGTTCCGATTTGCTCTCTTGGCTTTTATTCTTCTCTTCAGACACTGGGGTCTGCAACGTTACTCGTGGTTGAGCTGGAGGCAGACTGTGCACCAGCACCAGAACCGCCACCAGTGTCCCCGGGGTCCACCCCACCTGCTGTCTATGCGGTTTCCCACAGCGGGTAATCAATTCTGGGGCGTACTCGCGGAAAGAAAATATGTGGAAAAGAACTCAGGCTTTTGACCAAATTTTCCCAAGCCTTCAGCCAAAACTTCTATCAGAGCGGCAGCAGTAACGCCTGTTATAAACAGCAACACTCTGTCTGCCACACGTGTGAGGCTCCTGACAGGCTCTTTCTCTTTCTCCTTTTTTATTGGGTGGAGGGGGGGAGCAGTGGCCACACCCGGCAGTGCCCAGGACTCACTTCTGGCTCTGAACTCAGAGATCTCTCCTGGGGCTTGGGGATGATATGTGGTTCCGGGGGGGAACCCGGGTGGGCCCAGTGCCTGGGAAACTCCTTACTCAGTGTGCCGTCACCCCGGCCCCACCTGAGTCTGGCTTGCCCCCATCCTGTCTTGTCCCCTGCCCTCGCTGACCAGCTCCTGACACATTCCCCATGAGCCACCTCCCCGCCCCGGCCCCCCCCCCCCCCCACTCAGGCCTCTGCCCTGAGACCCCACTGTCCCGTCCCCCCAGGGCCTTCCCAGCTTCTGGCCTGCCTCTCAGGTACCATTGCTTTCACTTTGTTTTTGTCGTTGTTACCTTCTAGGTTGTAAATTCCGAAGAGAGGTCAGTGTGAATTCATTCTAAAATGTCACGGTCAGTGGCAATAGTGTGTTTCCGTTGTGCCTTTAACTCTCTGCCTCCACTCCGCAGGACCGGCTTTAATCTTGGGAAACTCACACCAGCGCCATCTTCGAATCTCTTTGCTGCACAAGGTACCGTCTGAGTGGCTTGGTGTCCCTTTCACTGTCTCCATAAACCAATGTGGTTCTTTTTTCACGGGCACTTTTGCCTTTTCCTTGTTGCTGAGCTTGGCTCAACGTGTGTGCAGCAAGTCTGGCATTGCTGTGCTTGAGAGATGGGGGGGTGCTGCGAGCTGGCCGTGTTCATCGTGACGGACAGTGAAAGGTGCACTTCTAGAGTAGTGGGTGCTGCTCTTCGTGCAGTTAACTGGGGGAGTCATTCCTCTCTGCAGTTCATTGGGAAATGAAATCTCTTCCAGCAATAGAGTGAGCTAGACTCAGAACTGAGGCAGTAAAAGCCCCAGTTGGTCTTTCCCCAATAATATCAGCAGACTAGCTTACAGTGTAAGTAAGTCCATTTCTCTTTTAATTTAAAAAGCTTTTTAAAAATAATAATTATAGGGGCTGGAGCGATAGCACAGCGGGTAGGGCGTTTGCCTTACACGCAGCCAACATGGCCGACCCAGGTTCGATTCCCAGCATCCCATATGGTCCCCCGAGCACCGCCAGGAGTGATTCCTGAGTGCATGAGCCAGGAGTAACCCCTGAGCATCGCCGGGTGTGACCCAAAAATAAAAAAAATAAAAAAAAAATAATAATTACAACATGATTCTGGGCTGGACCAGTCACAGCTGAAGTTCTGCTATATTTCCTGCTGGCAGTTTTGCTGTCTTGAGTCCATTGAATACTGTCACTTGTGAACTGTGCTGTATTTCCAGCTGAAGATCTCGTCAAAGTGGCGTATTTTAATGGCTACTTTTTTTTTTTCTTTTCGGGTCACACCCGGCGATGCTCAGGGGTTGCTCCTGGCTCTGCACTCAGCAATGACTCCTGGCGGTGCTCAGAGGACCCTATGGGATGCTGGGATTTGAACCCGGGTCGGCCACATGCAAGGCAAACGCCCTATTCGCTGTGCTATCACTCCAGCCCCTACATTATTATTTTTTTTTAATTGTGGCTGTGCCATAATTTGGTTAGCCACTCGCCCTCTGGACACAGGCTATTTCTGGGTTTTCCCCGTGATGAAGAGCACAGTGACGGTCTTTTTTTTTTTTTTTTAATTTTTATTAGTGAAACACCATGAGGTACAGTTGTAGACTTACAAATTTTTGTGCTTGGGTTTCAGTTATACAGTGATCCAGTACCCATCCCTCCACCAGTGCCCATTCTCCATCATTTACTTTTTTTTTTTTTTAATTTTTGTTCGTGAAACACCATGAGGTACAGTTGTAGATTTACAAATTTTTGTGCTTGGGTTTCAATTGTACAATGATAAAACACCCGACGGTCTTTCACTGAATCATCCAGTATACATTTTGGGTTGCAGACTTCATGTGCAGCCCAGAGTCGTGGGTCCTTCAGACAAAGTGCATCTCCTAGACTTCCCAGCCAGACAGGAGGGGGCGGAACGCAGTGGATGCGGATGTCCTAAATCGGTCTCATGTGGCATTTCCTGGGCGGGTGGAGTTGTTCCTCTCTCTGGACCTGTGAGTCTTGAGCTGCTCTCGAGCTCTGCCCGCTCGAAGGCTGCAGAATGCCCTTGAGACCCACCTCCTCTCCTGCCTCACTTCCTGGAGGAAAAAACAACTCCGAGATGAAAAGAAAAGTCATTGTCTCAGTCATAAATAACAAGTGGATTTCCCAGAGACTCTGTAAATAGCAGGAGCCCAAGCTCCCGCCCACACGAGGACAAAGTGTGGGGGGTGGCCTGTGGCCCCGCATTCCCCATCAGTCCACTCTGGTGGCACAGCTTCGTTTAGTGTCTTAAGTATGAAGACTTGATTTCTACTTTATTTGACCAAACCTTGTAGTTTTCCTTTAACCTTTGTATTGACTCCATGGGAATGGACTGTTCAAATCTGTAACTTTCCCAGAGGGACATAGCCACGGAGGGTGGGGGGGCAGGGCAGGGTCCTGGTCCCTCAGATGTTACTTACCAAGGGCCTGAGAGCCGTAGACGGAGTACAGGCTCTGCCAGCAGGTGGCCCGGGTTTAAACCCCTTCACTTCCTGGTCCCCTGGGTACCACCAGCTGTGGCTTGAAACCCCTCCCCCACAAAAAACACACGAGTCCTTTATTTGGGGAGAGTGCTAGGAAGTAGCCATTAATTGAATGTAAAAATGATTTGGGGAGTCCGAGTGATAGCACATTGGGTAGGGTGTTAGAATCTGACCACCCAGGTTTGATCCCTCGCATCCCATATTGTCCCCCGAGCACCACCAGGAGTGATTCCTGAGTGCAAACCCAGTACTAACCCAAAAACAATAAGAAAATTAAAATGATTGTGGGTTGGTGCTTTGTTTGCCCATTAAAGCCAAAGGAAGGTCTGTTGTGTGTCAGTCCTGGCCCTTTTGACCAAGCTGTCGAGAGCAAGACAGTCTGGGAACCGTGAGGGCAGATGCCTTTTTAGGTCTTTGAGGACGATATGTTACTTCCCCACTTTCTAGCTATGGCATATTTGTTGTGACTTTATCTGTATAAAGTTCTCTCACCGAGCCAGGTTCCTATGGAGAGCCCTCGGTGCTCCGTCCCCAAGGAAAAGTGGCGAGGGAGGAGAGGCTTTGGCGTGGAGTCAGGAGAAATGTGCTCAGGTCGCCTTTGGCCAAACCCAACCTCTCTGGGTTTCTTTGCTAGGTTCGACTCCCTCCGCCAAAGATGCCAGCCAGCTAGACACATTCTCCTCAGGCGGGACGGGCAAGCCTTTCTACGAGAGCGCTCCCGACGATACGGCCCCCACGGGGCTCACCACAGACGCTCCTGCCGCGGCCTCCCCGGGAGAGATGGCTCCACTGATGATCCGGCCCGCAGCTTCTTCCACCGTCCCCCTCAGCTCTGCAGCCGGCAAGCTGAGCGAGCTGTTCCCCAGCCCTCTCACGGGAGAGACACTCGGGAGCTTCTCGGGACTGCGGGTCGGCCAAGCAGAGGACTCGGCCAAGCCAGCCGGTAAAATGTCAGCCACAAATCTAGCGAGTGTCCAACCCACCAAGACATCCGCCGGGCCCTCGGGGTTCAGTTTCACGGCCCCCCTGGTGTTGGAGAAGCCCGCAGAGCCCCCCGCGACTGCGGTATCCAGCACACCAGCAGCATCCGCAGCTGCAGCCAGCGCCAGCATGAGCAGCTCCCCTGCTGCGGTGTTTGGGGGTCTGGCCCCGGTCAGCTCGGGCCCCTCAGGGATGGTCAGTTTCGGAGGGATCACCGCAGGTGGCAGCAAGACGGGCTTTACGTTTGGAAGCCAGCAGGCTAACAGTCCAGCACCCACGTCCACGCCACCGGCAGCCACCACCGCTGCGCCCCTGCCCACATCCTTCCCCACCTTGTCATTCAGCAGCCTCCTGAGCTCAGCAGCTGCCCCGTCCTTGCCCATGGCCTCTGGCAGAACCACAGAAGAGGCCCCGTCCTCAGCTCTGCCCGAGAAGCCAGGCACCAGTGAGGCCTTGGCACCCACAGCCTCGCCCCTAGGGCAGCAGCCAGCCCAGGGGCTGGTGCAGACGCCGGACAAGAAGGAGCCTGCTCTGGCCCCCGCGCTGGACAGCAGCCCCAGGGCACCCAGCCCCAGCTTCGTGGCACCCACTGCTGAGGTCCCCGCAGCCACGCCTGGGGTTCCCGACGTCAAGACGGAGCCGGCCTCTCCTGCCAGCCCTTCCGGGCTCGAGCCGCCTGCTCCCACAGTGACCCCTGTCTCAAGTGCGGTGCCGGCGGCTGCAGAAACATCCAGTGCCCCCTTGGCCTCCACCGCGGCCCCCACCGTGGCTCCCAGCCCCGCCACAGAGACCACGGTCTTCGGGACGGTCTCTTCCACTGCATCCGTGTTCTCTCAGCCGCCTGCTGCCAGCTCCAGCTCCGCTTTCAGTCAGCTTGCCAGCAGCACAGCCACGGCCCCCTCGGCGTCCCCCGTGTTTGGGCAGGTGGCGGCGAGCACGGCGCCCAGCCTGTTCGGGCCGCAGACCAGCAGCATCGCCAGCACAGCAGCCACTGCGCCCCCAGTCAGCAGCTCGGGCTTCGGCAGCCCCGCCTTCGGCACGGCGGCTACGGGCGTCTTCGGGCAGACCTTCGGGCAGGCCCCAACCTTTGGGCAGGCGACCAGCAGTCCAGCGAGTGGCTTTTCCTTTACCCAGCCGGGATTCAGTTCCGTGCCGGCCTTCGGCCAGGCCGCCACCTCCACACCGTCCTCGACCAGCGGGAGCGTGTTCGGGGCGGCGTCGAGCGCCAGCAGCTCCATCTCCTTCTCGTTTGGACAGTCTTCCGCCGGCACAGGCGGGGGCCTGTTCGGCCAGAGCAGCGTGCCTGCTTTCGGCCAGAGCCCCAGCTTTGGCCAGGGAGGCTCCGTGTTTGGCAGTTCCTCGGCCACCACCACCACAGCGTCCTCCTCAGGGTTCAGTTTCTGCCAGGCATCAGGTAAGACCGGAGCAGCCGGGACTTGTCACTGAGCCGTGTCTGGTGGCGAGGTGGGAAGCAGCACTGGAGGGCACAGAAAGGCCCTTGGCCTGGTCACTGGCACGCTGGGCCTGCTGCTCGGCAGCCCTTGTCGCTGACGGTCACCATACTCCCAGCATTGTCAGGGATATGGGGGTGGAGGGCCGGAGTGATAGCACAGCGGGGAGGTCGTTTGTCTTGCACACGGCTGACCCAGGTTCAGTCCCCAGCATCCCATGTGGCCCCCGAGCACTGTCAGGAGGATTCCTGAGTGCAGAGCCAGGAGTAACCCTTGTGCAGAACCAGATGTGACCCTAAAAGCAAAAAAAAAAAACAAAAAAACAAAGAAATGTGGGGGTTGGGAGCTGGAGCAGGTGGGCCTTGCATGCGGCCAATCCTGATTTGATCCCCAGCATCAATATGGTCCCCTCAGCACCACCACCAGAAACAAAAAGGTGAGTGGGAGGCTCTTCACATGGGCCTTTCAAGGTGATATCCGAGGACTAGTGTCATCTGGGCTGGAGCGATAGCACAGCGGGTAGGGCGTTCGCCTTACAAGCGGCCAACATGGCCGACCCGAGTTCGATTCCTCCGCCCCTCTCGGAGAGCCCGGCAAGCTACCGAGAGTATTCGATATGCCAGACACAGTAACAACAAAGTCTCCAATGGAGACGTTACTGGGCCCGCTCGAGCAAATCAACGATCAACGGGAGGGCCTTTACCTTTTACCTTTTTAGTGTCATCTGGGGACGGGTCCAGAGCCCCAGGCTCCATGCCTCCCCTCGCAGCCCCCGAGGGCTTTTCTCCTCTTGACATAGTCTGCTTTTCTGTCTTTTTTAAAATTAAGTTTAAAATTAAGCAGCGAGAGTACAGCTAGTTAGGCATGTGCCTTATACACGACTCACCTGGGTTCGATCCCTGGAACCACATATGGTTCCCTGAGCACCCCCAGGCGTGCCCCCCATCCTCACCCCAAGAATAGAAATCATTGGGGTTGGAGCGACCCAGTAGCAGGGAGGGCGACTGCCTCACGCCAGCTGCCCGGAAGGTCCCCTGAGCCCGCCAGGAGGGACCCCTGAGTGGAGAGCCCAGGGGAAGCCCTGAGCACTGCCGGGTGTGGCCCAGAAACAAGCAGAAGTGTTTCTTTTTGAAAGTGAGACTTACAGTGTGAACCGCAGCTGCTTTTACTTATAAGTTGTCACCACCAGGTTAATGTGCACGTTAGTTTCACTTTCCCGTGATTTTCTTCTCTGCTATTTTGTTTTGTTTTGTTTTTGTTTTTGTTCTTTTCTGAAAATTGGGGGGACGTACACTGAGAGTACATCGCTGGTTGGGGGGTGATTTTTCCGGGCCTCAGTGGTCCTCAGAAACTAGGACTCGCTCTGCTTAGATCTGACCCCTGGTGGATTCAGGGGACAGTGTATAGTGCCAGGGGTCGAACAGGATCAGTCACATGCAAGGTAAGCATTCACTGCACGACTGTCTCCCCAGCCCGAGAATATACCATCTGATGGGTCCCCACATACCTGGGGTTTGGTGTGAGACAAGAGTTCAGTACTTGGGACATCGCTGTATTTGCAATTGGGGCCAGAGCAATAGTATAGCAGGTAGGGTGTTTGCCTTGTACACAGCCAACCTAGGTTTGATCCCCAGCATCTCATATGGTCCCCTTAACTCGCCAGGAGTAATTCCTGAGCACAGAACCAGGAGTAATCTCTGAGCATCGCCAAGGGTGACCCCCACAAAAAATAAATTATAATATATACATATATGTATATATATATATATATGTGTGTGTATATATATATATATTTGCAATGAAAGGGGGTCTTTAAGTCACTTGGTCATAATTTTCTCTCCTTCGTATATAGGGAAATACATTTTATTCATGATTTAACTTATTAGCAGGTATTTTACCTGAACCTTTCATGTTGGTAAATACTTGGCTGTTATAAAACACTTTTATCACTCATCCAAGTTTAACTTGTTTGTTTGTTTGAATTTTACAGGTTTTGGATCTAGTAATACAGGTTCCCTGTTTGGTCAGGCGGCCAGTCCTGGTGGAACAGTTTTCGGCCAGGTAACTACTTATGCTTGGTTTCATTCATGCCAGTTTATTGTAAATCTGTCTACGATGTTCCCATCTAATGAGTTTGTATTGTATGTTCAGCCCTAGCAGTTCAGCCCTAGCCTTTGTGGTTCTTCAGTTCTGTCTCTTTTTATCTTTCGGGGACACCGAAAGCTTAGTTGCCTCATAGAATTAACAGTTTTTAAAATTCTCTAGGAAAGTACATTTGAATCTCATGACTGAGTTCCAGTGATCTTTCTGCCTGCCGTACAGGCTACGGCTTGGCACACATGTCCCCCTAAGCTAAGACTGCTCTGTGGCTTTATTGTAAAATGTCCTTGCTCTAAAAATGGTTCTGCAGGTTCCGTGTGGGCATCCCAGATGGTCCCCTGAGCGCTTCCAGGGTGATTCCTGAGTGCAGGGCCAGGAGGAACCCCTGAGCATCCCCCAAAAAAGAAACCCTGCTCTAAAAATGGTTTTTACATCTTTCTTTTAAATGCCCTTGCGTTCAAAGTGGTGTGTACACCTTAAACCAGTTCTTTTCAAAGGGTCTGTGCCGCCAGAGGTCGGGCTCTTGCGGCCCAAGGTCCTTCCCAGTGATGTGAGCTGTTTGAGTTGATGTGACTGGCTGTTTTCCAGCTGCTGGGCATTGTTTCAAGTGCTTTCTACACATTGACTCATGTCATCATTGGTACTTCGGTAGGGCAGGTGCTGCTGTCCCCACGTGACCGATGAGGGTCACTGAAGGCCCCGGCATGGCCGAGCTCTTGTTCTGTCACATGCTTACTGTCTTTCAGTGGCCACCACCCCTCGAGTTTTAAAGAGGCTTCTGCGGTATATTCGTCATGACTGTTAACTTCTCCAAGGTGGAACCCAGTATTAGTTCAGCAGTTAGTAAGGAAATAGACATAGTACGTTTCTTACACATCTTAGGTTGATTTTCCTTTGAAGATGGAGTGTACCTTAATCAGCGATACTTAGCAGAGAGAGATGAAACTTCCCTTTTCTACTCTCTGATACTGACAGATTCAGTCACTTAAATAAAGTTCCCATGTGAAGAAAAAAAAAACTAAAAAGCTATATTAAAAACACCAAAGCACAATTTTTTTAAAAAGCACTGAGGGGCTGGAGCAGTAACACAGCAGGTAAGGCATTTGCCTTGCACGCAGCTGACCCGGGTTCAATTCCCAGCATCCCATATGGTCCCCCAAGCACCGCCAGGAGTAATTCCTGAGTGCAGAGCCAGGAGTAACCAACCCCTGAGCATCTCCGGGTATGACCCAAAATGCAGAGGGGAAAAAAAGGCACTGAGAAGTTAATAGGGTATTTTACTATGAGAATTTACAAAAAAAGATGAATCCCAGAGGACAAAGCACTAAACAAGAGTCTGATGCACAAAATTGGGGAGGGCGTCTGTTGTCTCAGAAAGACCCCCAGGTTGTGTTCCCTGGCTGCGTGGGCCTGGAATAGCAGTGGCTCCAGATGTCCCCAACAGCAGCACAGACCACAGTGAAGAAAGCCACCCCAGATTCTGCGTGAGCACATGGAAACGCGAGCAAGGGAGAATCTTAGGCCACACTTAGGAAGGGTTCTGAGATGTACTGCAGCCGTGCGGTGCGTGTTTCCAGAGAGAGCAGACGGGAGAGACCCCGGAGGACTGAGGAGAGGTGTCCTTTCAGGTTTGGGAAAGAGCCGAATAGAACTTCCTGAAAAATACTAAAAGCTAAAGCTCAGCGTCAAACCCAACTGCAGAAAGAGCGCTGTGTTAGGCATATCGCAGGCACTTCGAATTCCTGCTTTCCAAGTTCAAATCCCGAGAGGCCCATGTGTGCCAGGAATGAACCTGGCCGCTCCCAGTGTATGACCCAGAGCCACCATGGCCAGGTCAGCAGCAGCAGCAAAGGGAAGGGGTATGGAGGAATTAAACCAAGCCAGGGCTGGAGCAGCAGTACAGCGGGGAGGGCATTTGCCTTGCATGCAGCCGACCTGGGTTCAGTCCCTGGCATCCCGTATGGTCCCCCCCACCCCGCAAGCACCGCCAGGAGTAATTCCTGAGTGCAGAGCCAGGAGGAACCCCTGAGCATCGCCAGGTATAACCCAAAAGGGGAAAAAAAAGTCATTTTCCAGACAAGTATGAGGGGACTGTTTTAAGTCGTGGCAGTTTACAGTTCTTAACAGAACAGTCAGTGCGAGGAATTCATGAATACGTTTTAATACCACACCCCACACCAGAGTGTTTTTTTCCCGCCACGGTTGTCTCCGGGTTCCTCCTTAACCCCCACCCCCACCCCCGCCTCTGCACCCCCTCCTCTCTGCACCCCCACATTTCACTGCCATGGTGAGCTCACGTCTGTAGACCTATTGTCAGTTCTCAGTTCTTGGATTCTGTTGCTCTGGACCTTTCGCTCTCCGCTGCTCTGCTCCTTCACGTGCCACAGGTGAGAGAGAGCGTTCTGTCGCTGTCCCTCTGCTTCACGCTGACTGTGCCCAGCACAGTCCCTTCGGGTTCCGTCCACTGGGCGGCAGATTGCATGATTCCATCTCTCCTCTGCTTTCTCTCTCCAGCCCCCTGTTTTTAGACACTCAGGTTGTTTGCAGGTTTTGGCTTATCATTAATATGGTGAACATAGGAGCTCAGAACAATTAGAGTTTTTTTGGCTTTTGTGCTAGATGCCCAGAAGTGGAATTAATTGGTGGATCATATGGAAGCTCGATTCTTAGTTTTTTTAAGAGTCCACATTGTTTTCCAATCAGAGAATTTCCAAAAGAAATTCTAAAGGGTTCTAAAGAGAGAGAGAAAAAAAAAATGGAGGGGAGGGTCACATCCAGTGTTGCTCAGGAAATACTCCTGGAGTAATATGGGATGCTGGGAATCGAATCCAGGTTGGCCACGTGCAAGGTAAATGCGCTACCCGTTGTACTATGGCTCCAGCCCTGAAAGAAAGAACACCTGATCTCGCCAAAATAACAGCTTGCTTGCGTTTAGGGTAAAGTAGCCATGAAGTAAGGGAAGAGTAGGCTATCTGCAGCAGGGCAGTTGAGTTCAGGATATACAGACAACAGGAATGGAAAGGAAGAAGACAATGGTATACCCACGCAGGTGGCTGGAACGGAAGCAGCTGACAGTCCTCGGCCCGGGAGGAGGTGGAGCAGCTAGAAATAACCCAACATTCCTCGTGGACTGGCGGGAGCATAAATTCACATGACCCCTTTGCAAAACCATCTGGCAGTGTCAAAAGTGGGTGCTCAAAATCCCGCCTGAACCAGCAGATCTGCTTCTGGGGCTGGAGCTACAGAAATGAGGACCTCGGTCGGCCAGGAAACACGGGCACGAACGCTCATGAGGGTTGTAAGGAGGAAGAGCCCGAGTGTTCAGCAGCTGGAACAAAGCGTGACCCGTGGAACCAAGGCAGGGTATTCTACATTGCCTAACACGCAGCCGACCTGGGTTTGATCCCCTGCGTTGTATGGTCCAAGACCCTGCTAGAAGTAATCCCTGAGCATCACTGGGTGTGGTTTCAAAACCAAAAATTTATTTGAAACCTGCTATAAAGCATGTTACCGCAATAAAATAAATCTTAGAAGTAATTCCTCCTTTGGCCATGGGAGAGATGGTATGGCCCGGAAGGCACGAACCTTGCTACCCTGAATGAACCCAAGCACCACCAGGAGCCAGGAATGGCCCCTGAGTATCACTGGGTGTGGTTCTCCCCACCCCCGACAAGTCAAAAAATTTTCTTTGAAATCCTCTGTTACTTTTGCGAAGAGAAAGGACTTAAAGGCAGAAATGGAAAATAGAATGTAGACAACTTTGCCTTGTGTTCCCTGGAGCTTGTCCCAGTGGTGATGCTTAACTCAGCTTCAACACAAAACAAATAATCTTAAGGCTGCTGAGATAGTCCAGCGGGGAGGCTGCTGGCCTTGAACACAGCCGACCTGGTTTTCATCCCCAGCATCCCGTAAGGTCCCCCAAGCCCGCTGGGAGGAATTCCTGAGCGCAGAGCCAGGGTTAGCCCTGAGCAGCATCGCCCGTTGGGCCCCAAAACCAAACAGCTAGACAAAGACAAATCCTCTAAATCCGTACGTATTTCTAGTCAGTTCCTGCTGGTGTCTGTAAGCGTGAAGGTCAGAGCTGCTGACCTAGACCTGAAGCAGAGGCATGGGTCACTGAGGCTGTCCAGGGGCGAGTGGGCCCTGAAATCTGTGACTCTGGTCTCCAACTTCCTGCTCTGTAAGCGCTGGATAATTTCCTCCTTGATTCAGCATGCAAATGAGAGTAGTCCTGCTTTCCAGAGAAAACACTGGTGTCCATGCATCACCGCACCATGAGTCTTCTGTAAAAAATAGACAGTATAGGGGCTGGAGCGATAGTACAGCGGGTAGGGAGTTTGCCTTGCATGCAGCCGACCTGGGTTTAGTGTCCAGCATCCCATAGAGTCCCCTGAGCACCACCAGGAGTGATTCCTGAGTGCAGTGCCGAGCTAGGAGAAACCCCTGAGCATCACCAGGTGTGACCCAAAAAGCCAAGAAAATACCAGACAGTATAAGTAGACGTAGCAAACCTGGGAAGATGCAAAAACAAACAGGGTTCCACAAACATTTGGGAAATGAAGAAAGAACAATTCAGATGCTCCAGATGTTGAATAAAAACCATTGCATACAAGGATTTGCAGGAAAATAAAATACTGAACAGTCTAAAAGACTGAATAAAATAAGGAATCTGAACATAGAACTGGAAATTCAAAAAACAATTACGATCTCTTTACAAAGTCTGTTGTTAAAAAGGGGGGACTTGGCTTACTTTAATAACAGCACTAGAGTTTTACAGAAAAACTGGGCTTTAAGGCATGTCATTGAAAATTAGCTAAAATGAATCTCAGAGATCCAAATACCAGAGAATTAGCCTCTGGTGCAAGTGCTGGTACTGTGCGTCGCCACATAAAGTGTCATCAGACTGGGTGGTGCACTAGGAACGGATAAAGAGGAAGTGGCCCAGGTGTTCCAAATTTGGTGACAGACAAAAATCTAAGGAAGCCTCGTTTGTTTTGGGGCCACACCAAGCAGTTCTGAGGGTTTTCTCCTGGCTCTGAACTCAGAGGTCACTCCTGGTGGGCTCAGGGGACCCTTGGGGATGCCAGGGATCAAATTCATGTTGGCCTTGTTCGAGGCAGAGCTGTGCTATCTCTCCAGCCTCAAGAAAACTTTTTAAGATGGGAAGACAAGAATAGTAGCTAGGACTGAACCCAGGGTTCATCCAAATTAATTATAACGCAAGAATTTGCTGGGGTCAGAGCAGTAGTACAGTGGGGAGGGCACTTGTCTTGCACGCAGCCAACCCAGGTTTGATCCCCGGCATCCCATAAGGTCCCTCAAGAGTAATTCGAGAGTAATCCTGAGTGCAGAGCCAGTAGTAACCCCTGAGCAGCATCACTGGCTGTGAACCAAAAAAAAAAAAAAATTAATGGTATAATAAAACAAAGGCGGCTATATATTGCTTATATGCGAAATGAGGATTTATCAAGAGTATCATTCTGCTCGAGCGGGCCCAGTAACGTCTCCATTGGAGACTTTGTTGTTACTGTGTCTGGCATATCGAATACTCTCGGTAGCTTGCCAGGCTCTCCGAGAGGGGCGGAGGAATCGAACTCGGGTCGGCCATGTTGGCTGCATGCAAGGCAGACGCCCTACCCGCTGTGCTGTCGCTCCAGCCCAGTATCATTCTGAATAGGTTTGATTTCTGGTTTGGCCCGAAAAAATAATAAATGAATAAACAAAATTACTGGGATTCTCTAAGTCCTTTTTTTTTTTTAAGTGCAATAACTCACGTTTATTTGAGTGTATTATTTATGCAGTGTGTTCATTTCTTGGATATGTCTGTTAAATCATTTCTAAAATTAGGTTGATCCCCCTAAAACTGCCATGTTTCTGACTCAGAAACGCCCTTATATAGTAGCAATTCTTGCTGCGTGTACGGTCATTAGTTGTCCAGGCTTCCTTCAAACGCATGGCCCTGCTTACTGAAACCTCACCTTTGTTTTTCCTTTTGTTTTTTATAAAGTTGTTCACATGATTTATCACATTCACTACTCTGAAACACCAATCCCACCACCATTACACCTTCCCACCACCATTATTTCTCATTTTCCCAACCACCACCCAAGCCTGCCCTAAGAGCAGGCCGTAATTAGTTTATTTTGTGTTGCTTGTTATGAATAATTAGCTAAAAATGATCAAAAAAGATTTCCTTAGAAGAAAGCATGTGAAAAGTGTTGCATCTCACCCTGGAGCCATTAAACCCTTGTATAAGAGATTGCTAACGTGTTGTCACCAGTTGAGTCTTGTGTGTCAATATTTTCTTCATCGAAATTGGTTGCCTCCTACTTTACATCCCATCCAGTGTGGTGTGCTACTCCTGGTATGTCAGTGGTATAGATGTTGCATGGCCACAAATGGGCTGCATGCTCCAGAAATTCTAAAATTTTGAATGGGGTGGAAGCTGGAGTTAAATTTTAACTGGATGGTGACTTTGGGTCCCTGAAGCATCTCTGCAGCTTACTGATTTCTTTCAAGATTTACTTATGAATCTCTGGATCATGGCTGGTTAATGAGCTTATATGACGCCAAAGGCTGTTCATGGGCATGACTGCCAGGCGCTTGGAAGAACAGGGGGATGGGGGAGGTTGCCCATCCACAGCTCCATGAGAACCTGGAAATTTCATTCACAAAACCTGCATCCCTGAGTTTTTCAACAGATTCGTTCCTGGAAGAGGCTCATTTTGAGCCTGTGGAGTCTGACCATGAGCATGGCGGCAATTGGATTATGGAGGTTTTCGCCTGCCGGGGCTCTTAGGCTGGTGGTGGGCTCACCTGTCCCCCTCCAGGGTGCCCCAGATGAGACTCAGCCTGGCGCAGAGTCTGGAGGCATTTCTGCCGAAGCCTCAGCTTTTATCATGGGATTGGGCCCAACTCTGCGCTCTGGGCTCACTCCTGGCTGGGCTCAGGGGGCTGTATCGGGTGCCAGGGATCAAACCCTGGGTCAGCTGTGTGCAAGGCAGGCCCACCAAACACAAGCCTGTATCTCCGGGCTCCTGGCTACCAGGTTTTTGTAAGCTTTTTCTGCATGCTCTCTTGGGAAGCATGTAGACTAAGATCAGACCAGTATAGAGATCAGCAGGACCTTGCACATCCATGAAGCGTTCCTTTCTTTTGGTGTCACACCCAGTGAAGCTCAGGGGTTACTCCTGGCTCTGTGCTCAGGAGTAACTCCTGGCAATGCTCAGGGCCCATATGGGATGTTGGGGATTTAACCCCGGTTGGCTGCGTTCAAGGTGAAAGCTCTGTCCCGCTGTGCTCTTGCTTCAGCCCCCATATTTTTATTTTGGTTAAAACAAAAAAAATTTTTTTCATCATCAAATAGTTGTAGTAATTACTGTTGTTTTCCAAAAAAGTTTAAAGGAGAAAAAAAATTAAGGAGCAGGAGAAACTAGCAAGCTTATTGCTCTCAGGTAGAAAAATCAGAAAAAAGTGTACAGCGAGTAGGACGCTTGCCTTGCAGACGACTGGCCTAGGTTCAATCCTCAGCACCCCACACGGGCCCCCCAAGCACTGAATGAGTAATTCCTGAGTGCAAAGCCAAGAGTAAACCCTGAGCCCCACTGGGTATGGCCCAAAAAGAAGAAAATTAGTATCTTCTGGTCGAGACCCAGAAGGCCAGTGTGACTGGAACAAATAGGGGTGAGGGTGTGGAATACTGCAGTGAGGACAGGTCAGGGGCCGGCTCCTGTAGAAAGGGGGACAGGAGCGCAGCTAAGCGCCTCATAAGGACACTGTCAGTGTGAAGACACTAACCAGCAGGGGGGCTGGAGCCTGGGGTTGGCTCAAGGCATCAGAACTACGTGGAGTTTCTCACTCATTCAACACTCTCCTCGTTTTAAGGCAGGTTGTTTATTTTACTCCTTCAAACAAACGCTCTCCCCCGACCCCCCCCATCTTATCCCCTGCCCCCATCTTTGAAGTGGCTCTGGTGGAGTCCCTGTGCACAGTGACCCATTTCCAGAGGCCCGTCTTTCCTCCAATGTCAGCCAAGGAGATGTCACATTTACCTAATAGTCATGGTCCCTCAAGTCTCGCGCAGTATTCCTCAGGAACGCACTCCCAGACAGAGATGAAGTGTCTGGTGCCTGCTGCAGCTTTGAGCCCACACGCGTCCCCGCGTCCGCACCCTCCCCTAAGCATAAGATTTGCAAACTTGGACAGAATTCAGCTGTGGTCATCATTTCAACAATGGAGCTAATTTAAGCTGCTTTCTGCAATCCTGGGAAAGTCATTACGAAATAAAAGTGCAAAATTGGGAGAAAAGACCGCGTAAATCACTTATCATCCATTGCTGATGAGTTCAGCCAAATAACTAGGGTAATCAAAATAAGTGGCACTCAGAGAAGCGCCTCTCAAGGCTTTCGCAGCAGGGGAGGGGCCAAGTTACTCTTCCGAGCCTGGTCTTCCTGCCCCAGGAATTGTGTCCAGCACAGAGCTGGCAATGAGGCAGATCAACATGTAGAAGTTCCTGCCACCCCAAATCACGCTTTCAGGGGTCTGCGAGCGTGGGCTAGCTGGAGAACGGCTGGTGTGCGGGGAGTGCCCAGGGAGAGGCCAGCGCCTTCTGAAGCGCATCTGTGCCAGAGCTAAGCTGAGTCTCTTGCTGCTTCCATTGGTCCGGCTGTGCAAAGGTGCTGGCCATTTCCCGGTGACCTCTCACCCCGTCTCACTTCCTGCACCTTTTGTCTTGCAGCCTGCCGCTGCCTCATCTTCCAGCAGCAGCGTGTTTGGGTCCGGGAGCACCGGACGAGGGGGAGGTTTCTTCAGTGGCCTTGGAGGGAAACCCAGCCAGGATGCGGCCAACAAAAACCCATTCAGCTCGGCCAGCGGGGGCTTTGGATCGACCGCCACCTCGAGTAAGTGCAGACCGTTTCCCTGGGCTCCTCCGTCCCCCATGTCATCTCCCGCTGTCGTGGGCTCTTAGAAACAGGGAGAGGCAAGAAAGGAAGGAGCCATCCGGAGCAGTGCGGTCTGGCTCAGCGTCGATTTTATTGGATTTTATTTATTTAACTCCCTGTCCTCTGTAATCACGGGAAGCATCACCACGACTGGAGAGGAGCCGAGTCTTGATTCTTCCTCTTGTCGCTCAAGGCCCCTGGCTCTGATTCTGAGCACTGAGTGACTCAGGCAGACGGGCGTGATGCGAGCAGAGTGAGCTGGGCCTCGCTCGAGAGAGAGCAGCTGGATTTTCAGATGCACAGGACTCTTCGCATTTGCTGTAGAAGGCAGTTCCGGAAGGAAAATGTCACCCCGCAGTTGAAGCCTTCGTTTTTTCATTTCTTTTTATCTTTTTTTTTTGGCTTTTTGGGTCACACCTGGTGATTCTCAGGGGTCACTTCTGGCTCTGCACTCACGAATCACTCCTGGCGGTGCTCGGGGGACTATATGGGATGCTGGGAATCGAACCCGAGTTGGCTGCGTGCAGAGCAAACACCCTCCCCGCTTTTCTATCCTCCAGCCCCTTCATTTCTTTTACATCTTTGTCTTAGTCTGTCTGATCCGAAACTCTTCCTACTGGCGCTTTTTTCTCGAGCTGATTTTGAAAAGCCTTTGTTCTGTCTCCTGGTTCAACCTGAGGAGCTGCGTGAGTCAGGCAGCACGCATCCCGCAGCCGGGAGGCTGAAGTGGAACTCGAAGCTTCTCCCCTTCAGCTTCGCCTTTCTCTCTTTCCCGGCTCTGCAGGCCACTTCCCCCGGCCTGGTCAGTCTCAGTGACTCGGGCACTGGTGTTCTGCAGACAGGTCGGGCTTGTCCGTCAGCTGGAGGCTGCTGTGGCCTGTCACGCAACCGCCGTGCCGCTCTCGCCAACTGGCCAGGGATGTGGAAGGGCACCGTGGCTCCTCTGGAGCTTCCCGTCTGCTCGGAGTTTAGGAGGAAGGTCTTGGAAAGCAACCTGGGCCTTCCGGGAAACGGGCCTGCTGAAGAGCTCGCGCAGAGCCCGTGTCCTGGGCAGCGCCCAGCCTCAGGCCTCCAGGACACATGCTTTGAAGCAGAGGCCCTGTGGCTGTGCATTTTCCAGAGGAAGCCAGCCCAGAGTGGTCAGCTGACTGCATGAGTTGAGTGTCATGAGCCAGAAAGGGCAGATCTAGAGCTCACCTGGCTCCCGCGTGCTGTGCGAGTTCACCATTTGGCACAGGACCGGCTGGGACCTGGTAACACGCCGGGCAGAGGCTCAGCGGCTGGAGGGCATGGGCCAGCAGGCCCACAGCCACACGTGGCCATCACACTCACAGACCCTTCGGACCGTGTAGGGGTCGATGCTTTCCTGAGCACGGCTGCGATACCTGTGTGTTACCCAGCTGTCTCACAGTGAAGGAAGATCCTGTGCCCGTGATCACCAGCCTTCCCTGACTGCCTGGTCCCCAGGAGCTGGAAACTGCTGTGTGGAAACTGAGTGTTGGCTGCAGACGCAGTGGACAGCTTTATGCCGGGGCGCTCAGAGAAGCGGCCGGAGGCTTGGCCCGCAGCGCCAGCAGGCTGCACGATGGATCGTGGCCGGTGGGCCTGCTTGAGCCATCCCAGGGGATTCTTGGGAACTGGGCCACAGCACGAGCAGGGCCGTGACCATGTGCCGGGCACAGGGCTCATGTGCGTTCTCATTCAACTTCCACATGAGCAGGTGGTGGGGGGTCACCTTCCTCAACAGCTCCCAGGGACCTTCAGCCAGGTACAAGCGTAGAACTCGGGCTTCTTCCAGAATGCTCCGTGCATCTAGAGGCAGAATTCTTGTTGTTTGCTCTGCTCTAGTTTTGTTTTTTTTGTTTTTTTTAATTTGGGAACCACACCCTGCAGTGCTCAGGGGTTATTTCCCGCTCTGTGTTTGGGGATCGCTTCTGGCACTGCTCAGGTGCCATCATGGGTGCCGAGACTTGAACCAGGGTTGACCTCACACAAAGTCAGCGCCCTGCCCACTGCACTCCACGTAAGAAAGAAAGAGAAGCTGCAGGTGCTCCGGGCAGCGTTGCAGGAAGGACTTTCACCTCTGTTCCGAATTTCTCCAGCAGCCGGGCCCCAAACCTGGCACTTGAATTTGTTTCTGATCTGGGGTGTTGCATCACCGGCGCTACTAAAGTCAGAACTGCACCCTCTGTTCTTGAGATTCCCAGCCCACGACAGCAAGGAACCCTGGCTTTGATGTCAGGATCAGCCGTGGTGGCGTGGAAGGACTCCAGCTAGAGCGTAGGCCGGCCCTGTGGTCCTGGGCTGGGTCACTGAGGCAGTGGTGACCCCAAGGTCAGACCACTCCCTCTGGGTTGTGCCTGAAGTGCTCGTGATGGCCTTGTACCCCGGGGAGACGGGGACCCTGATAAGGCCCGGGGCAGTGACGGCCGAAGTAACAGCACCCCGCTGAGGGACACCCCACTGAGGCCCCTGTGGGGCACGGCACATTGTGCCTGGCGGTCTGGGACCGGGTGCCGAGCATCAGCGCAGAGTGGTGGCCATTGGCATGTGGGTTGGCCCCGCCACCACCTCCTGGCCGGGCCCTGCCAAGCGGTCCGCTTCCTCCTCCCCGGATCAGGCTTCCTCATGCATGCTCTTGTCCTCAGATCCCTCAAACCTGTTCGGAAACAGTGGCGCCAAGACCTTCGGCAGCTTCTCCAGCTCCTCATTTGGAGAGCAGAAGCCTGCCGGCACTTTCAGCTCTGGGGGTGGCAGCGTGGCGTCCCAAGGCTTCGGCTTCTCCACGCCCAATAAAACAGGTAGGCGACCCTGTGCTGCTCGTCTGCGCGCGTGCAGGGCCCAGAAGGGAAAAGGAGTGGCGTGTGGACAGGTAGTTCACCCTCCGGCTTCCTTTCTTTGTGTTGAGCGTTAGGCGGTCCCTAACACCCAGACCTGTTCTAGAGAGTTGGAAGCCCTGAATGCGTGTCCTGAGGCTTCATAGAAGTCGGGGCTGTCTTAGCATGGCCACTGGCTGGCAACCGCCGTCCGCCCAGGAAGGGGGCACAGCAGGGATCCGTCCAGCTTTTGTGGGCCATCATTGTGTCCCTCTCCCACGCCGGCCTTGTCCTTCCCGCTGAGGGCAGCATGCTGGATGTCCTGCTTGACATGTGGGCACGTCCTCACTGCGGGCCACACGGGCGGCTCTGACCGGATGTGGCCGACAGGAGCCATGTCCATGCTGACTGGGGCGAGCCCCTACCGGGGCTTTCTGCCCATGGAGATGTCTCCGTGATCCGGGAAGAAGAACTCAGCCTGTGGCTGCTGCCCGGGCTCAGACCCAGGACCTTGTCCACACGAGATGCCTTCTCAACCACTTGGTTAGGCTCCAGCTGGGACCCCGTCCATCACTTCAAGTAGTAAAAGCTCACGAGCGTTTATTCGTTTCCTGCTGTCTAACCCAGCGCAGAGCTCTCTGGGAAGCCCAGGGCACAGGGCAGGAACCCACACAGAACACTCAAACCACAGCCCACCCTACAGCCACACCTCAGCTCACTACAACCCACATCACAGTTCTCACTCTCACTCTCACTCCAGCTTTTTTTTTTTTTTTTTTTTTTTTTTGCTTTTTGGGTCACACCCGGCGGTGCTCAGGGGTTACTCCTGGCTCTGCACTCAGGAATCACTCCTGGCAGTGCTCAGGGCACCATATGGGATGCTGGGAATCGAACCCGTGTTGGCCGCGTGCAAGGCAAACGCCCTACCCGCCGTGCTATCACTCCAGCCGCTCACGACAGCCCCCAGCCCCTACTGCAGCCACCCCAGTGGAACAGTCAGGCCCTTCCTGTGCTCTGATCTGAGAGGAGAAGCCAGCTGCACAGATGGCACCTCCCCCATGGCCAGGAATTGGCCTGGGAATTTATGTGTGTGTGTGTCCTGGTGTGTGTGTGTGTGTCCTGGTGTGTGTGTGTGTCCTGGTGTGTGTGTGTGTGTGCGTGTGCGCGTGCCCGTGCGTACCCAGCTCTGCTCCTAGCTTCATGCACAGGGGACCATGTAGTGTTGACTCGAACCCAGGCCTTCTGCACACGACCCCACCCCCTAACCAAGCATCTGAACAAATGGAAACACCTGCTTTGTTTGTCCCTCACACTGTGTGGGAGACGGGATGGAGAGGTGCCACGGGCGGGCGAGGGCGTGTTTGAGAAAGTTCTTGAAGCTGGCTCCCTGCAGGAAAGCGGGCGCCTTGCACACACAAGGCCTGGGGCGGATGATGCAGTGCCGGCTCTCCTGGGACAGCATGCGGTGCCTGTCCTCGAAGGGGGCTGCCGAGGGGTTGCTGCCCATGGAAGGTCCATCTTCCCCGCGTGCGTCGGGCCCAGAGGCCGGGAGCGCAGGCTCGTCTTCAGGGTCTGTCTCCCACGGTCCTGCCGCGTGGGCGCCTCTCGCCTCAGCGTGGCCTGAAGGAAGGGTCACAGCAGCCTTGGCCCTGGTACTCGGGCAGATGGCATGCGACTGAAATTTCTGCAAAATTAGTCAAGAATTTCTTTTTCAGGAACTATTTCAGGAACTTATGTTTCTTACCTAGGAATCCGGTCCCACACACTTTCCCGAGTGTCTCAGGCTGTGTGAATTGCCCGAGTCCTGTGACGGAGAGGGGAGGGCCCCCCCGCCCCCGGGCGGGGTCCCCTTCTCTGGGGGTGTCCTCCTGGAGCTCCCTTCTGCATGCCTGGGCAGCCTGACCCTGGGGCAGCACACGGAGGAATCCGTGAGGTTTAGCTCAGCGGCTCAGACAGTATCCGAACATGCCAGCGAGGGGTCGCCTTCAGCTCCCTGAGAGTTGGTGCTGCTGCAGGGCAGGGGCAGGTCATGGAGAGAGAGACAGGAACGGGGGTCACCTCCGGGGCCCGGGCTCCCCCTGCTGCTCCCCTGCTGGAGCAGAGGGATGCGCGTGACGGCTCGCAGGACAGGTGATATGCTCGCTCAGACTCGAGGCTCCACCCTCCAGGGGGTGGGGTCAGGGGTCTGTGTCTTCCGGGGAAGATGCCTGGTGTCTGACGCCACCCTGCCGCCTCCAAGGGGTCCCGTCGGGGGTCAGAGGAAGGAGCGGCCTTGTGGGCAGAAGCCCACCCTCAGGACACACACCCTAGGTATGTGGGGGGAGGTCAGCGGCCACCTCAGGTGAACAGAGGTTTCCAGGTGGCCTTCTGCTTCCTGTCCTTTAGCTGTGACCCAAGTTTGTGCTTGGCGGGGGAGAGACTATAGTGCCATCAGGGGCGTCTCCTCCCTCCTTCCCCCCAGGACTCTGAGTGCTGTGACACAAGGCAGCAGGCCTGGGTGCCCGCGAGGAGAAACGAGATCTGCCTCGGCCTTCAATAATTCACCTCCAGGGGCTTTTAACACTTTCCTTTTTCCAGCCTGTTGTATTTGCGACCCAGCAGGCTCCGCTGTCATGGCTTGGAATTTCACTGAAGGTTTTAAAATACACAACATGAAACCAAACGTAGCCGAAAGCATCTCTCGGGTGTGGGTCCGCTGTTGACAGAGCCAACGGTCAAGCCTCGAAAGCTCTGTTCACCGGAGGTGGCCACTGACCGCTCCCCGCACCCGGGGCCTGTGTCCCAAGTGGGGCAGGGTTCTGCCCACAGGCTGCTCCTTCCTCTGACCCTGACAGACCCCCTGGACCATCCCGCTCCCTTTCCCTTATCGGCAGAAACGGTCAGCTTCCGGGCACAGCCTGGCCCCGCCCATCCCACAGCGCTCTGGCAAGGGGCTGGGCCCTGCTGGGGCTCCGTGGACCTGCATGTGATGGGTCCAGCCTGCCCCTCACCACTAGGAATGGGTCTGTGTGCCCGGGACACCCCCAGGATATGGGGTTCCCTCTCCCATGCACAGAGGAGACAGCACAGACTGAGCGCCGGGTCGCGCACCCGCCCCAGCTTCACTCTGCCCCTCCGCTGACCGCCCCAGTTCTCCCGAGAAGGACTGGGGCCTTTCAGTCCCACAGGGCCTGGGGGCGCTGTCCCGGCCAAGGTCTGACACTGTTCCCTTTCTCCACACTTGCTCCTGGGAGGCCAGAGGGCCCCTCTGGCTTCTCGGGCGCCCACGGAGTCCTCCTGAGCGGACGCCAGGCCCTGGCCGGAAGCTGCCCTGCTGACCTGTTGGCCTCCCTCCCTGCAGCCTCTAATGCTCACTGTCTCTCTCCCCCTCCTCCCTCCCTGTTTGTTTGCCTCTGTTTTGCTCAGGTGGCTTCGGTGCTGCTCCAGTGTTCGGCAGCCCTCCGACTTTCGGGGGATCCCCTGGGTTTGGAGGGGTGCCGGCATTCGGTTCAGCCCCAGCCTTTACAAGCCCGCTGGGCTCGACGGGAGGCAAAGTGTTCGGAGAGGGCACGGCGGCCGCCAGCGCGGGAGGATTCGGGTAAGGCCCCCCGCCCCGGCCGGCCAGAAGCCCGGGCCCTTGTCTGGAGGGGGCGTCTGTCAGGTTCCCTGAAGCTGCCCTCAGGAGCCAGCCCCTCCTGGGCGCCTGCTCCCCCGACAGACGCTCCATTCTTCCACGCGTGCCCCCTGGGATGCGGGGTGGGCCTCACGCTGGTCAGTGGCCCTCCAGAGGGGGTGGTGGGGGACAGCCACCTGGGCCCGGCTGGGCTCCGTCTCCTGCACGTGGGCTGGCAGCCCCACTCGGCACCAGGCCACCCCGGGCTCACCCTCCCCGCAAAACGCCATATTAAGCGCCCCAGAAACTCCGTCTGGTTGCCAAAGGCCCACAGCAAGAACAGCCGTCACGCAGTGTCAGCCCAGTGACCCGACTGGCCCGGGACGATGCTGGCGCCTGAGTGGGCTGGAGGGTGGGTCTGTTGAGGCGTTCAGAGTGGAGCCAGGACTCCGTGGCAGCAGGCAGTGGCCGCGGTGCGGAGTCTTCAGGGACCACGGGCCCCAGGTTCACCCAGGGGTGAAAGCCCACAGAGGTGGGGTGGCGGGTTTGGAGATAACTCGTGCCAGTAGGTGGGCAAGGGGGTTCCGGCCACCAGCCGTCAGCGGGTTCGGCTGACCGGCATCTTCAGGTTTTGCTTCTTTCCTGAGTGCAGCTGATTGACAGACTGGCAGAGGAATGGCACGTTGTCTGGGGGCGCCTCTCCCACCCGCGGCCCCCTGACTGGGCACTCACCGCGGACAGGACCAAAGGCCCAGCTTGCTGTGCTCACGTGCCCGGCCATCAGCCTGGGACTAGCCTGGCACGTGGCAGCCCTCGGCGATGGGCCTGAGGCAGGCTGGACCTGGGCCGGCCCCTGACCACCTGCTCCATCCCAGTGAGAGGGAGCGGGGCCCCCAGATGGAGCGGGCACAGCAGTTGTGCCCACCGGGCGCAGAGGGTCAGGAAGTGGAAGGAGCGACAGCCAGGCCCGCCGGCTGCTGGCCAGGCCCTGTGCGCTGGCTGGCTGCTCCTGCCGCGGGGCGCGGCTCCCCCGCTCCTTGGGGACTCGGGCCATGCCCACTGTCCGTTCTCACTCCCCAGGTTTGGCAGCGGCAGCAACACCACCTCGTTCGGGACCCTCGCCAGCCAGAACGCCCCAACATTCGGCTCCCTGTCGCAGCAGACCTCCGGCTTCGGGACGCAGAGCGGGGGCTTCGCAGGCTTCGGTGCTGGCAGCGGAGGTAGGCGAGGGGCCGCAGGATGTCCTCACGGGCGTCCGTCAGCCAGAGACCGCACCCGGGTTCTTGGCACACACAGAAAGGGCGGGCTTGGTTTTCCCTTTAGATTTGAGGAGGCTGGTAAGGAGACCAAAATGATAAAGGTCTTCTGACCAGACCTTGGTTGAAAACATCGAACCTGGGGCCGGAGAGGTGCCAGGGTTCGGGTGCGAGCCTTGACCGTGGCCCTGCTTCAGCCACTGGCGCCACCCACTGCGCCCCGCCCCCCCGGCACAGGGCCGAGGGTCGGCCCCTAAAGCCCAGTGAGTAAGTACCGAGCCTGCGCACTTGATGGAGACTGTCCACAAAGGCCTCGGTTTGCTGCCGAGACGAGGTCTGTGCCCGGGTGTCACCCAGGGGCTAGTCAGGGAGCCGCAGCTCGGGCCTGGAGGAGGGGAAGTGGCCGGGAGGGGCCCCTGGGTACCTCGCATGGAAGGGAGCGGGGAGGAAAAGCACTTCCTCGGGAAGTGCATCGGGTGAACGGGGCGCATGAGAGGCCCCGTGGGCCCTGAACCCACCGAGGGGCCTGCTGTGGCCGAGGAGCAGGGAACACCCTCAGCCCTACAGCTGACAGCAGGCTGGCCTTTGACCTTTGACCTTTCTCACCCTTGCAGGCTTCAGCTTTGGATCCTCAAACTCGTAAGTACCTCCCTCTGGCTGCGAGTCCCTAAGTAAGGAAGTTTGGACTGTTGGCTGTTGGCTTTTGCTCTCCCTGAAACTGGGCCCAGGGCAGGGTGCGGGGCTGGAGCGTGGCGAGGCCGCCCTGTTCACCTCCCGAGCGGCCAGCTGATGCGTCTCTCCGGGCTCTTCCCCGCAGGTCCGTCCAGGGCTTTGGTGGCTGGAGAAGCTGAGTGGGGGTCCCTGTGCCCCTCGGGTTCCTGTGACCAGCCGCTGAGTTGGCGTCAGCTCCTCCTCCCTGAGACACGCCGCAAGGACACTCGCACAGACCAGGCCGGGAAGGACAGCAGGCCCGGCGCCCCAGATGCGCCCCGGGCCGGCGCCCCTCCCTGCATTAAACTCTGCTGTTTCCGTAGAATGGCTGTGGGTTTTGTTACCTGGGCTGGGGACGGGCCGTGTCTGGTACTCTCAAGGGGACCCTGACTCCCAGTGGCCGCCCCACGGTGAGAGGCTGAAACTTGGTCTCTTCCTGGGGCAGCTCGGCCTCAGGCTACAGCTGGGCATGGCCCATGCTACTCCCCCCCCCCATCTCAAAAACAAAAGCGGGTTCCTGGGTTTGTCTCCAGACTCACCTGGGGGGGCAGTCACAAGGGGGGGGGGAGGCGCTCACACTGCACACATTGTCAGGGTGTGTAATAAAGGTATTCTCTGGTGGTCTCATAACGGGGCGCAGGGGGGCTGCCCGCAGTCCCGCCCACGCCTCTCTCCCAGGATGAATGCCCTCCGGCCCCGGTGCTTCCACTCACCCCTGGTCTCCCGGCCTGCCCCACATGGGTGCCCTGGAGCCAGACTCCGCCCCCTGGGGAGCTGGGCTCTGGGGGTCACCGTCCTGGCAGCACACGGGGCCTGATCCTCAGGGTGCAGGTGCCAAGGGTCCAAGGACCGGCTCCCACGTGCACCCCGGCCAGTCAGAGCCGCCCAGTGGCGGCTTTTAAAAATAGAAGCAGGTCTGGCCCGCAGCCTTGACCTCAGATTCTCTGCATTAGTCCTCGAGGGGGCGGCGGGCGCGACCAGAGACGGTGGCAGCACTCGGGGGCGGCACCAGGAAGGTGCGGCTGCAGGTGGGACGGCTGCGCTTCCTTTCTGGGCTGACCGCGCTCAGCGCCAGGGGTCATCGCGGCAGCCCAGCTCCGGGCAGGACAGGCAGGGGCAGCCTCGGGCCAGGTGTGCTGCCCGGTTTGGCCGGACTCACGTGTCGCCGCTCATCATTGGCATTTCTGACTGGGAGTCAGGGCTCCTGGCCCCGTCCAGGCACAGGGGCCCTTACTCTGCCCCCGACCCTGGCTCAGGTCCCGCACTGCTGAAGCACGTGACTGCGTGCGGCCAAGTGCCACCCTGAGCCCCTCAGCCACAGGCTGCACAGGAGTTGCCCGCAGAGACCAAGCGGTGTGACTCACCTGTGCCTGGGTCCATGGGCGTGCGTGGTACCTGGCCCGGCTTCTTGTGGCACCCTGAAGGGACCCCTGTCCTGAGTGACCGCGAGGGTCCCCTGAGCCCCTGATGGAGACTCCGCTCCTGGACACAAGGCGAGGCTGGCGCCTTTCCCAGATGGTCCCTGGGCCCCTCCTGGGAACCCAGCAGCTGTCCCGTGGACCTCACGACTCGGGGGTGGGGGGTTCAGACTTCTCTACCCGTTCTCGCCTCCCTCACCCCTGCAGGACTGTCCCAGCCCTGCCCTCTCGGCCCCTTGGTGCTCCCGTCACCTACCGGTGAGCGGCACTTGGACGATGGTTGTCTTGGGAGTAGCTTCCCGGGGACTCCGAGATCAAACCCCTACACCCCTGGACCCCAACCCAGGAGGGGGTCCTGCGCCCCTGAACCCTGGGGAATTCTCTCCCCAGACGAAAAGCACAGCCAAGCCACAGCACCACTATGTGGACGCGGGTCCTTCCGCCTGCCTTTATGAGTCAGAGAAATCTGCCCTTTGCGGAGCTCTTGGAGTCAACTCACAGCAGCCCCCCTGCGGGCGGGCGCGAGGGCCGGCTGGGGGCTCCACGGTCAGGCCACTCTGGGCAGAGCTGGGTACAAGCCGGGGCTCAGTGTCACTGGCGCGCACGCCATCACGTGAGAAACTGAGGCTGACGTGTCCCGCACCCCTGCCCCATGCGACCCTATTGCGTCTGTTCCCCAGGACAGTCACTGGTAAACGCCTCCCCGTGCCCGGGACCAGCTGAGCCGTTCCATGCCCATTCTGCGCCCCCGTAGGCCTGCCCGCCCTGCTGGCTGCAGCCTGGGACAGGGACGCAGCTGCCCCAGGGAGCGGGAGGGGGCGCGTGTGGGCTTGGCTCCCACCGCAGCATCCCCCTACCCCGGCCCCTTTCCTGTGCAGGTGGCAGGAGCCTGGAGGAAGCAGCTGGCCCACGCTGCCGCACCCAACCCCCTCCTCCCTCTGTGGTCGCCGGGGAGCCCCGGGTCGCACCCAGACCCCAGGCTCAGCTGCCGCATTGTTGAGCCCCTCGGAGCCTATAAATAGCGCCCAGCCGCTCCACACAGCGCTGCCCGGAGATTCTCCACATTGTTTGCGGCCCTCCGGCCCCCGTTGCCCAGAAGGGTGGTGAGGGGGGCAGTGGGCAGTGCCTGACCCTCCCTCCTTCCTTGGGCCTTTATCCCACTGTCCACCGCGCCCTGCCAGCTCACTGCCTCCCGGCTCGGCGCCTCTGCTCCAGATGCCCACTCTACAATTACGGCTATTCCTGTAGCTGGTGGTTGATGTGATTATCAAGTTCAGGCCCCTTCCCCCAGGGTCAGCTGCGTGCCAGCCAGCCTGCAGAGGCCGTGTCTGTCCTCGGGCCGTGCTGGCAGCGGGCCAGCCAGGCAGGAAGCGGGTTGTGCCGCCCGAAAAGCCAGGGCCCAGCAGGGACAAGCGGGACTCGAGGGACAGCGCAGGGCCTGACGCCCACCAGGACCACACAGCCCGCCCGGAGGATGACGCCGCTGCTCTGCCCGTGACCCAGGGAGGTGCCAGCCTGGAGCTGGAGCAGAGCCCGTGGTGCAGGACACCGACTATGCCACGGCGGCCTCTGGAGAGGACGCAGGCCAGAGCAGACCAGTCCCAGTCCGGTGGCTGAGGGGCTCAGTTCCCGCCCAGGTGGGTGCCACCGCCTGGCCTCCCACAGCCCCTCTGCCGCCCAGCCCCAGCCCTGCTGTGTCAGGCCACAGCTGACAGCGGGCACCGAGGGAGCGGATGAGCAGCTTGCCCGTCTGCAGCCAGCATTTGCAGGAGTAGTTGAACTCTGGTGTCTTTAAAACCGCGATCTCAGGAATACAGGAAGTGAAAAGGCTATAATTATGTTACAAAGTTCTCCATACGGTGACCTTGTGACAGCGCAAGTGAACACACATGCACGCACGCGCCTCCTGCCCCAGACCCACGCGCCTGCCTGTCGAAGAGCGGCCCCACTCCGGCCTGATCCCAGGCTGGCCGTGGAAGCGGCTGCCTGCTGGCTCTTGTCTTCCCGGGCCTCTGGAAACAGGAAGAAACATCATCTCAGGCATTCCGGCCAAGTGGTAGCTGTCGGCACCCAGATGGTGGGTGGGCCTGGTGGTCATCCAAAAGCAGTTAACCGCTGACCTCAGCTTCCTGTGTGCCTGCCTGCCCGCCCGCCTGTGTTCTGGCGGGTGCTGAGCTGGCTGGTCTGACGTCTCGAGCGTTGCTGGGGAAGCTTTGGTCACGGCTCGCACAGAACAGGGCTGCCCGCAGGGGAGGAGAAGCCCCTGTTCGGGGCTGAGATTGCCCGTTCCTTGGAGACCGTAGGGAACTGAGACCCAGTGGGGCAGGAAGGGACTCAGAGCTCTAAGCTCCTTGGTGTGGCTGGGTGCAGATCCCGGCCATGCTGTGTGACATCAGGAGATGCACTTCCCCTCTCTGAGCCCCAGTTCTGTTATCTGAACAGGCAGCCGTTCAGATGTGTTGAGGACAGATTTGCAGTGTGTGAGGTTGACAGTTTGTTCGTGTATCAGTGACTGGAAGCTCCAGGGCTCCTTCCTGGCCGTCCTGTTCCCCCACCCTTCCCCTGCTGACAGTGACTCGCTCGCATGCGTTTCCAGAGTGCTCAGGTGAGGCTGGAGTCCATGTGAGTGGACTCCATGGAGTGTGCTGGAGGAGGAGACAGCTGCCCCAAGGAGCTGTCCTATCGCTTCAGCTCCCTTATCTGTCTGCTGAGGACCCCAGGGGGCGTGCCCACGGCCACCGTGTCACGGCTGGTCAGCCTGAGACCAGAACCCCCCAGGCCCAGAAACCAGAGCCAGCCAAGAAGGGTCTTCGGGTCAGTCTGTGCGGAGGGAATGCCGTCCCGATGCCTCCAGCCCCAGCTGCACAACAGATATACACGGGCATCTCAGCAGCTCGCTTCTCCAGCTCAGAAAGGGAATGTGCGTCCTTTGGCAGGATTGGGATCTGAGGAGTAAGGGGCTCGGCCCTGTCCTGGCCCTGCTCACTTCAGCCCTGTCCAGGCCCCGCTTACTGCTGGTGCCACTCGCCGGGCGGGTCAAGGGACAGTCACTGTCATCATGAAGTTAACTGGTGGGGAAGGCGCCCAGGTTTTATCCCCGGCGCCCCATGTGCTGGTCCCCCAGGCACCACTGGGCACAGAGCCAGGAGTTAGCTCTGAGCACAGTAGCACTCAAAAACCCAAACCTTAATTGCCAGTCGTCTTTTTATTTTCCAGCAGTGCCCAGCACTGCCTAAGCTCACATGGGCTGGACAAGGAGCCAGCCTCCAAGATCAGAGCATGCACAGAATGCTCTGACCAGGTATGTCCGTGGCCATCCCTGCATATTCTTTTTGTTTTGTTTGGGGCCACACCCTGTGGTGCTCAGGGCTCAGTCCCACCAGCTTTTCTGTCACTCGGCCCAACCAGGAAATCTTTTTTTTTTTGCACACAGGTTCTAGGTTTGATGTCAGGTAACAGGGGCCCCAACCCGAACAGCAAAGAGCAAGCAAGGAGAAGCCCCCAGCATTGCCCAGGGATCCCCCAGAGAAGGAAAAGGAGAAGTGAGTCTAAATGTTGGAAAACTTAAAACTATTTTTCTTCAAAAATTAATATAAGGCTACGGTATTCTACCGTGTGATATTGGTGTCAAGAGAAATAGGTCAGTTGTACAGAATAGAAAGTCCAGAAATAGGTCCACACATTTATTATTAATTGATTTTTGACAGAGGTAAAGAAACAATTCAGTTGAGAAAGAGTAGCCTTTTCAACAAACGGTGCTAGAACAGTCGTAGACCCATATTGGGGGGACAAACACACACTTGGAGTCCTGCCTTACACCATGTATAAAAATGAAATCACAGGCTTATCTGTGAGATCTAAAACTATCAGGCTTTGTGACATTGAACTTGGCAGTGA